TATATATATATATATATATATATCAAACTACTAGAGGTCTCCTATTCAGTTTAAAAGAATGTAATATAGCAATTAAGATAAGGTAACTTTGAATATTGAGGATGCAGTATTTTTAAGTAAGAAATTAAAATTAATTATTCAATTCATATTTGCATACTTTAAAAGAATGTAACGATATATATCGCTCTGTTCACTATTACATTACTGCTATGCATATAAATAAAAAATTAATTTTAATTGCTTATTATTTAAAACTGTCACGTGATATTCCAATATATTCTTTTATCTTTCCCTTATCACAATTCTTATCTTATTCTGTCTCTTCTCTCCCCCTTCTTCTTTCTCGCGCTCGCTTTCACTTTCTCTCATATTCCTTTAAACATGATAGGAGAAATACCCTATATTCTGTAACTGAACGCAATCTGACTAAATCGATGTTCTATTCATGTAATATAACTCAGTTTTTTATTCTTCAAAGTTTCGAAATCATAATAGTCTTATGATAACCTAACAAAAAATTCAACTATTGTATTAATAATCAGAATAAATATAAAAAATACAACACATGTACAAGTTGTAATCAGTAAGTCATCACTTATATAATAATAAGTAATAGCTCACTGTACGTTAATTTCGCATTTTTACGATACAACTTACGAAAGTTAGAGAAAAGCATACGTTTTTTTTTTTCAAATAGTATTCAACAATCGATATTTATTTCTGTTGTCATTTTCGTTTAATATGCTATTCAATAACCGACAGTCTGTCGATGAGCGTGCGAGGTAAATGCAAAGTTTTGTGTAAAGTTTGTTTCGGTGATAGTTTTCGTAAGAAGGACTTTGTGATTGAAGACTCCGCGGTGTTCATGGGATCTCTGTTCTCGTCGCACGACGTCCGAGTACTCAAATCATTTTCTTCTTCATCAGACGAACAGAGATCAATCAACATTATCGTATGTGATGGGCATTTTTTCTCTTTAGTAGCCTCAGCATTGTCCGTAAATGATTTCACAGCAGCAAGTGCGATTAAAGTTTCTTTAGCCGATGCACTAATGTTAGCTTCTTCTTCAACAACAATCGGCTCTACATCATCCTCTAATGACGCCTTCCGTTTCGAAGATACAGATATGTTTTGCGTGTGGGCCATTTTTCTCGACTTCGTTTTACATGCCGGTCCTGCTTTTCTCATTAATAAAAGTTTCCGAACATTAATACTCCTCTGAGAATATTGATATTTTGAAGGATCTTTTTTTAATTCATCAATTTGCCTCTCATTCAATCGGGTAAGAACAACATAAATAGGTCTGCATGTGGCGTAGAGTAATTGTGATTGTATACTTAGCACTGAAGAAAAAATATGGATCATATATATATATATAATTTTCCTATAAAATATCCAATAATTAATATTAAACTATTTTATATAATATTAACTATTTTTGAAACAATATAATCCTATTTTTTTGTTTCTTTACTTATAAAAAGTAATTGAGCCTATCTCTATATTTTATCATTTCATTTATTTTTTATTTCTCTCAAATTGTTTCTCTATTATTTCATTTGCATAAAAAGCAACGCAAAAAGAACTAGTAAAAAATAAGAAAACAGAAAAATATAATAGATCCTAGCAATCTATATTTCAATCCTACTCAATTTGTACTATGTTTTTTTAATTTTTGAAGTTCTAGTAAAAAAAGAAATTAAAGAGATTATTAAGTAAATAATACGTAAAATAAAAATGTTAGACAATATTGATTTAATTTATATTTTCAACTGCATAAAAACGAATGTTTCGGCCGTCCTCAGTGACGCATCAATAAAATTTTTTTTTATTACAATAATTTATATTGAGCAATGAATTATATTAAGCTGTATGTTTTTATTATTTATAGTCTATGTTGCTGAAGATGGCTTAAACAACATAAGGTATTTGTTCATATGTAATCTTTTAATTATTTTGTATACTATTCATTGCATTTATTCTGATAGTTCTCTTTAAATATTATAATTTTTAAAATTTCGATTATCAAAAGTTTTTTTAATATTATTTAATCCAGTTTTTAAGTCTTTTGTTCTAATAACATATGTATATGCCTAAGAAAAGTTATCAGTTCACAGTAAAATACGTACTTGGTTTGCTTTTAGAAGAATTCACAAATTTATATTGATGCACATAATGGTCAGTGGGTTTATCCCGATTTTGTTTATATGTCACTATCCATCTATCGTTATCTATTTCTGCATCCAGCCATTTTGGTCTACACGAATCGCTCAATATCGGCGCGATGACATGTCTTTCTATTCTATCTAATCGTTCTTGCTGCGTTTCTTCAGTCATAGCCTTTGACTTTTTGGTTAGCATTATGCCAGCAGGTGATGAAAATGGGATAGTAGCGAATTTTGTAAAATTAAGAGAACTCCTAACACGTCCAGAGGTACGTCTGGCGATACCATCGGGAGCACTCACGTTTTTTACATCAACCGATTTGGATTCAGTCTTACTCGATCGTAATTGGAAGTACTCCAGAAATTGATCCTGTTGTAACTCAGGCTTGACGGTGGACATATCTGGTGTGGACGAACGCGAGCCACTACATCCACCATGATCTTGTTCGCAACATATTTTTTCATGTTCCTTAATAATTGCACAAATAGGAAAGTATAATAGTCAAGTATCGTTTGTGCATATGAATTTTAGTTTTGCGAAAGAATAAATTAATACATCGGATACTAATACCTTCATATTTGCAAGGCCTACAAATTCAGCATCGCAATTGTCACAAAGATAAATATCATCACATGGTGGTTGAACCATCATGGGAGTTTGTTGCTTTACTTTTCCATTGCTTGATGAAGACGCATTGTGAGATAACAATGTTCTTCGGGAGCTGTCATTTCTTCTGTCATAATGCTGTAGGCACAAAAAGCTTTCTCATTCATCAAATCAAGAAGAGGTATAGCACATTATTTGGGATACTTGATAAAGTGATATTCTATATGTCAGTATACCTGTAGATATATATACATATTTTTTGTACACACCATGTTTTCATTACGAAATGTTACTAGTAGTTTTCCTGTACTTTTGTGATACAGACTAGTTGTCGAGTCCCAATTATTAACGTATTCTAATTCATCGTGTGGATACTGAGCTAAATAGGAACAAAAACGTAACAAATATTCACTTCTGTGATATGTATAACATCGGAAAACCAATTTCTTTAGATTTGCCATCCAGTTCTGAAATGATATTTTAGGATTAGCACTTTTCCAAAAGCAAGACTTGATTAATAAATACATAATTGTAGTTGAGATATAATATTTGATGATTGCTTACATCGTTGATCTTTTTAGGTCTCGTTAATGGACTTGAAAATTTAATATCTTGAGGCCACCACTCAGGCTTATTAATAACCTTAGTTGTATCATGGCCCAGTGAACAATGAACCATAAATAATATAAAACGTTCTAGTTGCGTCTATAGAATAGTATTCATTGATATACTCAATTCGCAGATAGAATATAACTTGTAATATAAAGTTTGCTTTTTACAATTAAAGTATATACTCATTGTGCTTAAGATATATATATCATGTGTGTATATATATGTGTATATATATTAAGATGTATATATCATGTATATATATATATATATATGTGTGTGTGTGTGTAAAATAGATATACATTAGATGTATAATAATGTATATATTTAAAGCAAAAAATAAAATTTTAGTGCAGATCAATGCAGTGATAAAGAATAGATTTATAGTGCAATAAAGTTTTATCATATCTTTGGATATGATTTCTTGAATTACAAAATATTTTATAGAGACAGTTATCTTCAAATTAAAAAAAATACAAGTAATATCTTGTCAATGTACCATGGTAATTTTCTCGAGAGATGTGGGATAACCATTAGCAAACAAAAGAGGAAGATTGGATACCATAGAACCTTCCTCCCTCTCTAAATTGTCTATCCTTTTGTTATCTTCTCCATACTTAGTATTGTCCATCATGGTTGCATCGTTAAAAACTTGAATTCCAGACTTTCTTACTTCATTTCTATTATTTTCTTGCATAGTCGAGTCTCATACTTCCAAAATCATTTATTTTGTTCTCCATTTAAAATACATCTACTGCATAGAAAGCTCTGTGGAATTTTGTATAGGTTAATAATCTTCATTCCATTAAACAATCTTGTTTAAATTATTTACACAATTATTTTATACAAATCAATATTTTTAACAATTAAAATTATAGCATTAAAGTGAAGTAAAAATAATTTTATTATGACTTATTCAGCAAGTAAACATTTGCTTCTGATTTTTTAAAGTAATGCTGTCTCTCACAGGGATCATCACGAACGAGTTTCAACAAGTGATATTTTATCACATAATCTGCGTCGTCAACACAAGGCATTATTTGTTCAAGCTATGGAGCCCGTCATAGAAGATAATAATCATGACAAATTTTCCAGTGTGAAGATACAAAAAATGTAGAACAAAATCAAACCTATATTCATCGCATATACCTTTCTTTTCCTGGCAAACCTTTATCCGCGAACTTGCATAGGGCTCAAAGCTCTTTCGCGATACATCGTCTAGAAAATTTCGGCACCCCCTCAGTTACACTTTTCATGCGATGGCATAACCAAGAAATCACTCGCGTTTTTCCCCTCTTTTTCTCCTCATTGAAGATTGTCCGGCACTTACTTCAGAAATCTCTCATCGAACTATAAATGATGATTCGAGTCAAAATGACCCGGATGTAGGGCAAAGCTCTACGACAATTTCGCATAACAATCATCCCGTCAGGTCGCACGCAAATGCGAAGGCCATTTTTGGAACGTGAACTCCTAATATCCCTCGAATATTTTTTCCTCGAATTGCTCTTTTCGCTCAAAGTTTAAGGTTCTACGAAGCGTCGCTCCTGCTTTATGATCATCGTTGTCGAACTAACCAATCCGAAACATGAAAGGTCTCAATCTCTCCGACTCAGAGACGCTGGAAATGCTAGTATTGAAACACTTGCCATCCAGCACGGCAACTGCATTCTATCGAGAGTCGATCACGCGATTAGCACGGGATTAATTAGTATTGATTCCTAATAGGATGATCCCCGTACGAGTCCCGTAAGTCTCTGTGAAGTTGCGTGTAAAAATCGCGGAAACATAGCTCCACACAATCATGCACAGCCGCGACAACGAAGACTCTCCACCGTTGATGACTGATTGACAGAAGGTCCCTCTTCCACCGATGCGTGTGCGACATGCCCAACATTCAAGATGGCGAGTACGTCATGCCAACACGCGCGCTGTTTGGCATTCACCTGCGATTACCACGCCAACAGCCGAGGAAGAGAATGTTTATACTGGCCGTAACCATATGCCATATGCCATGATCTGTAAGGCCGAAATCAGACGTATTGAAGAATGAGACTGAAGATTAAAAGATTGAAGTTTGACCAATCAGAAAAGGAGCCAAAATTTCTTTGTTCTCATTGGTGAAATTTCAATCTTTAATCTTAATCTCAATGATCTTCGATCATCATCTTGCATAGTCTGATTCCTGCCTAAGGGGCTCCGCACAATAAAAGGAACAGAGAATAGAGAATAAGAATTTCAACCTATCACAAGCTGTGTTCCACAATACATGATTTCTGGGGGGGGGGGGGAGCTCCTAAGAATTGACTAATCACAGTCGAGTATTCCACTATAAGAAGAGAATATTCGAAGATGATTGGTCAATTTTTACAGATTTCGGCATACGGTTACGACCATTATAAACGTTCCCGAAGCTTACATTGCGAGTCATGGGATTATTTTGGAAAATCTCAATTACTCTCATCGTTCATTACAAGGATCAAATATGATTTAATTTTATTTGACTCAGGAATGATTTAGAATCTTCAATATGGAACCCACACAATGGGATCGCGAAGTGACAATGGGAAAAAACAAAAAGAGGTATATGATAACAAAGTAGATTTCACGTATTCGCCGATGCGTCGGCGTCTTGCTGGGAAAGTTATAGAAGAAAGAGAAAAAGAAAGAAAATAAATCTCTTATATACGCACACGCGCATATACGCAGACGCAATGATTGCTGGGTACGTTGCCCAGATTATGTATTCCCAGCAAACAAGAATGGATTAAAATGGATCAAAATTTTTTTTAATGCATGCTTTAAATCCATGAAAATAGATTGAATGGATTGAAATGGATTGGATCCGAGCTACACTAGTTTAATATTCGAAAAAAAAAACATTCATCTTTAAGGATTATAAATTTTATTTCTAAGACATTTATAATAATTATAATAATTATACCTGAAATTAATTATTACAAATTGGTATTAAAAAACGTATCTTAGTGGAATTCGAACTTGGGACCTCTGGATTATGAAATCTTCTACGTTATCCGCCGCTACTACACCACTTCTTCAATTGGTAAATGTGTCATTCTCTACTTCAATTACAACCAGCTAAACTAGTAACGAAATTATATAAATACAATAAAAATATCATCATTTAACAGATATAATAAAGTATAAACAATTTACATTACTATGAGACATTGGGTAAGTGTCAGATAATCTAATCTTGCTTGGCCGATGTCGCGTGCCATGATTAATCTAATATTCGGGCTTTTACTTACGACTTATAGCGCTTTTCTCTTGGGCTACACTGAGTGTAACCTCGCATTACACTAGTGGCGTGTAAGTGCTGCATCAGTGCTGCATTACACAAGTGTACATACACCATGGTGTACACTATTTCATGCTATCGTGTTTAATTCTGCTGCCGGTTGACTTTCATTTTCAAATTTTTAATCATCACACTGGCTTTACACTGTGTTTTTGAGATCGAACAAAATCCCACTTCGTACATAAAATTTGTACTACACTATAGTCATGGAAACACGTTACACTGAATGAATTCGCCTACCATCAGCCAAGGAAACTTGCTGTCTGAGTGTTGCACTAATGGGCGATGCAGCCAAAAGAAAACGCTATTAATTTGCGAGTGTTTACATCGATCATTCATTTTACTTCTAATCAAAGAGAAATAAAAGAACAAATGCATTAGAGCGAATAAGAGCTACGAAGAGGAAGTAGGAACATGTTGAAGCACGTGACGTGAACAAACCTTAAGTTTCTATCGAGGGTTATCCTGATTCTACAATAAGTTGGTGATCGATAGTCCTAAGTCTTATCGATGAAGTTGATCAATAGCCAACTTGTTAGAGTGCAAGAACTGACAAACCATAGTCGAGCATTTCTCTCACATTCGATTCTAAGAAGGGAATACTTGATTATGACTAGTCAATTTCCACACTCTGACTCAACTCTAACTCTCTGTGGAAACTTAGCCAATTATCCATTAAGGGTCACTTTACAATTCACCGATTAGCTTAATCGGCCGATTAGTTCATCGGAATTGGCCAATCGTGTCTACTGTCAAACGAAATGACAAATGCGATTGGTTAATTGCAATAGACTAATCAGCCGAACTAAGCTAATCGGCGAATAGTAAAGTAATCCTAAGCAACCATTTTTAATACACAGAAATTAGTGTAGGATATTGAGTTTAGGAACGGAATTCGCGCGCTGCACTTCGAAGTGTGAGAACGTGTTTCTTTATGGTCATTCTTTATGGCCGTTTTTTTATGAGCGTTTCGATTGCATCATCGATAGCGTGTTGTTTTTGGTGCTTTATTTTCATGCGCGGATCATCTTTTCTTTATTATCCATCCATTTTTATAGCATAGACCGCGTTTCCTGGTTTACGTTAAGATGAATGAAGTTTCGGCCTCAGGCTTAGGATCGGTGATGGAGGTTGAGCCCGGTCAATCCCCTCCCCTCCCTCCTCATCATCCTTTGTCTCTGTCTTTCCCCTCCTTCTACGGGCAAAAGTAAATTAAAATTGCGTTCCTAAACTTGGCAAGAAAAGCTCCCTTTACGATCTAGTGGGGAAAAAAATTCGTCAACTTAAAAAATTGGAAGCTTCTTTACAGAGTAAACGTTTCCTACACTGTTCTACAAGCTATTACCAAGGAGCTAACAAACAAAGTTCAAAACAATGCTATGGACCTCTCTTAGAAGAGGACTCTGTATCATCTGCTTCTTCCTAACTCTTGTGTGAATAACAACAACAATCCATCTCTCGCAAAAGGCTATGCTCTGAAATCTTAGAGAGAGAGTCTGTTGTCAGTAAGCAGGGCAGAAGTGACAACAAACAAATGGCCTCTGGCACATCTAGCCATACCTTTCATTTTGACGCGACTACGTAAGCAAAGAGCAAGATAAGGCAGGTAAGAACAAGAATATGTGTTTCGAGAATTTCTATAGCTCCTCTGACTTATCTTCATTTGTCGTTCCTGTACATTCGGTTACAACGGATACACAGACCGCATTACATCCATTGCATGTCTGTCACATTATTTCTCAGATTGTATATAATGATAATTATATATAATGATAATTATTGAAAACCATAAGATTGGCAGGGATAAGATTCTTGTAGAACTTAAAACGGCTTCGACTGTTAATAATCTCATCAAATGCTTTACAGAGCCATAATCTCAAAGCTTACTTACCAACTTACCGCACTCTACGCACAGGCGTTATCCGAGATATTTCTGAGGAAGATTTTGTCAAAAGACACTTGGTTTCTCAATGCAAAGTTATTGAGGCTGCCTTATGCGCAGATCCAACAAGGACAGAAAATCTGAAATTATACCATCCGAATCAATGTGTGTCAAATTTGTTGGTCAATTATTATCTAAGTACGTCTCCTTATTTTACATCAAATATGCTGTCTCTGTTTTCGTTCCTAAAGTGCGCATCTGTTACAACTGCTACAAAGCAGGACATATGAACTTCTATATATTGTCAACGTATATCGTCATAGGTAAGGATTCCCCCAGGGATTTATTGCAAGATATGTTTAATTCTTTCGGCCAAAAGGCCAGATTCATTTTTATGGGAGATTTAAACGCACACGGCGTGGAGTTGCAAATATGTTGACCGAGTGGGCCGTTCTCTACTGGCAATCTTGGACGACCTTAGCGCTGTTTTTTAAATGACGGTATACCCACCCTCATTCAACCTTCTAATCATAGGC